AAAAACTTGAAGATCCTTTCACCAGTCCTCACTAGCACACCAAAAGCTCATAGCGCGCTCTCTTCAAGAATGTCTTTATCTATCTATCTATCTATCTATATATATATATATATATATATATATATGTATATATATGTATATGTACATATACATATATATACATATACACGCACTGTATATCTATATATTTCTATGTATAGTATAGTAAAGGATAAAGGATAAAGCTCTCGGCATTGATCAATCCCTGAGGGATGCGCCATGCATTCGACTTCAATTTTTGACTTCGTCTGAGGTGATTGAATGCATATCTGGCCTTTACACTGACTCGCGGTGGCCTCCCGCTGAACCGAGTCAGTGCTGCTTATCCTCCCAGACAAGTCTGAGACCTGCCTGGTACCAATTTACCGACCCCGGAGGGATGGATGGCTTGGTGAGCCATGAGCGCGAGATCGAACCATTGACCTCGTGTGTGACGCAGGGCACCGCTAACCACTGCGCCACATGCGCTCATGTATAGTATAGTATAGTATATATATATATATATATATATATATATATATATAATATATATGTGACTACTTGAGAGTTTTCGATAGTATAAATGTAGTTGGATTCTGGCTTTGAATCCTAGAAGACAGTGGTTCTTTGATGTTCTTAGTTTTCAATGAAGAAAAGTCTCAAGCTATCGTGGATTAGCGGGAGAGCACTGATACCGGATAAGTCTGAAATCAGTTTGTTTACCCCAAAGTTAATGGTTAATTCGATGTTAGAACTACCAATCAAATGATTACATTCAAAATAATCCAGAAAAAAAAGAATGTTTTTAGCCTAAACGAGGTTGGTACGCCAGGGCCATATACCGGTGTTTCGGAGGTTCGTCCTCCTCGTCAGTGACCCCCGCACCACATTAAGCCCTGCATTGTAGCAGGGAGGGAGGCGGGGGTCACTGACGAGGAGGACGAACCTCCGAAACACCGGTGTATGGCCCTGGCGTACCAACCTCGTTTAGGCTAAAAACATTCTCTTTTTTTGGATTATTTTGAATGTTCATTACGAAGTTTTAAAAACAGTCGATTTTATCAAATGATTACACATCAGCACCTAAAAAGATTTTCACCAGCCCTCACCACACACCAAGAGCTCATAACACGTTCTCTTCAAGAATGTCTATATATATATATATAATATATATATATATATAAGTATTATGTTATTTTGTTATGTAATATGCAGCAGAGACGTGGGCTGATACTTTGACCACTCTAGGCTACTGCGAACGACCAATAGAGCGCTTGAACAAATGTCTTCTGAAAATCAATCGGCACTCACAACACGTGGCCGACTTGCAAGCTCAGATCTCAGAAATTTACCTCATATTCGCCATCCAGAAGAATTCATGTCAATAGAGAATCACGGATGGGCCGATCATATAGTAAGAAGATTGGAAGACAATTGGACGAAACGAATTGTAGAGTGGACGCCACTAGAATACTTCAGTTCCCGAGGACGACCACCTACACGTTGGGCAGACGCATTCACTAGAAGAATTGACTAGCTTTATTTATATCTACATTCGCTTCAGCTGTGATCGTGCCTGCCGATATTCTACAGATCACGGCATGAAACTTCACCAGTGGCCATGCTCGCGCGAAACCACCGCCATGGACGACAATCGCGAGAAGGCAAGAAGAGAGGAAGATGTGCTGGAGTCCGCACAGTTCGTGAAGACGGACCGTTAAGTATCTAAGTAAGTCAGAACTGATGCACATCTTTCAGGGAAATCTAGCCAATGTCTTTGTTGCTAGAATGTGTATTAAATAGAATATTCAAGAAACAAATGCATCAGAGACACTACCAATGTATACTCAATAGCACTAGTCTCTTTGGAGCTCCTTTCCCAATCAACGAATGTCTCTCATAAGCGAAATAATCTTTCCAAAGAATTTTCGAATCATTAGGTATGTAGAACACTTCAAGGTTCAATGTGCAATTCGATAGTCTAAGTTGAAAAGCCGTCGATACGATATGATAATTGCAGCAAAAGTCCTTGATGCGGCAAAATAAACAAGCACAACGAAAATGAGTTGGAATCAGATCATTCCCGTCCTCAAAGATTAAGTGTTAAAATGACGTGGTTTCGCATTTATGTGACTATTCAGAGGAGCAATTAAACCTTACTTGGATTTCAGTTATACACCATGGCGTTTATGTAGTCAAAAAAATCCTGTTTCTCCGAATTGTTAATAATGTTGATGACTTCATAAATCTTATTCGTTGGAAGATTTCCAAAAACTACGAGGCTGCTTGACTCATCGCTGATCGATGAAACAGACTGACCACACTCGCAGAATGTGACTTTTATAGATGTTATGCTGCAGTTGCGAAAGTGGGCGGTATCGCACATATAATCGCCATTTCTCCTCCGAAGTTTATTTTGGTTTATAAAAGTTTACTCGCAGGCTTTCTGTAATTAGCCGGCTGCTAATCTAACGTACTGTGAAGGCCGTTGTCCATATAAAGGTGTGTCATAAATAATTTTTCACTCAGTTTCTCTATTTTTTTTACGAAGCACTATTGCTGTTCGAAAATAAATGCAGCCAATGACGAGGAGCAGAAATGGCTGTCTACATGAACTGGCATCCTATGCTGTGTGCAGCATCATTTCCGGCAAGCATTTCGTCGTTCTCTGTTTATCCGTTCCAGTGTTTCTTTTCTATACTAAAGTTGTACATAAACCAAGAATATAGGACGATTCCTGGAAGAACATAAGTACAATGGAGAATATAGAGAAACAAAGAGGGGAACAGAAGCGCAGAATCTTTTCAAAACGCAAGGAGCGACTCATTCATAGAACGGAAATCACAATAAAAGAAGGTAGCTCTGCACGAAATCCTGTGGATGCGGTACTTTTGTGTTTCGTCTTAAGGTATTTAATTCAAAACGAATGGCCTATCCTCACACAATTCACCGAACACAACATTACCATGTATTTGATGGATGGAAAAGATTTAATCCAGCCCAGTTAGGTTGATTTTCGACTGATCACACAGTTTCAGATGCTTTAATAGACAATTTATCCCACACTGTACCAAAAGTGCGGTATATATATATATATATATATATATATATATTCTATACATTACTTGCACTGTTGTGGTTCGACTCACTCTGAATTAAATCCCCCGTCTCTACGGAATTGTCAAATTTGTATCAGATTTTCTTGAAGAGAGTTTTTTTAATCGTCAAAGGTCAGAGACCGGTAGAGGCCTGCATATACTCTGCAGGATTGTCTCAGACTACGGAGATTCAAACTATAAACTTTTGTGCATGATGAATGTGAGACTGTGACCCGAGTGAGGTACTGAGATCTGCACTGCTGACTGCTGGATATAAGAATAAAAGTCTCACCCACATCAATTGGAGGCATATAAAACGAAATCTAGCAGTGCAGTTTTTTTTTCTCAGAAATTTCTACTACTTAGCTTTGGTTCCTGTCTTCGATGATGCAGGAGATTGCCTAAAGATATTATAAATGATGACAGCAAGGTTTGGGGGCCTTCTTTTTTTTTCAAGACCACAATGATTATTGGAAATAATAGTTTGCTGCATGCCAGCTAATACAATTCAGACCTTTAAGGTATGGAACGCCTTTATGAAAGTTGTCAGATAGCTGCTCTCTGCCAGCACATCATCAATAAACAAGAGTCAGCCAGTGATGCACAATGGACATCGTGCTAAACAAGCTGAAAATTTTGATGCGCATCGTTCCTAAATGAAAAATAATCACAGAAAAATTTATAATTAAATTAAAATAACTCTTTATTTCAGCAAATCTGCTCATCTTCCTTATACTGTTGCCATCAATATACCAATTCATCCGAGTCCAGGAAAAGCTGAAGGCTTCATCCGGCCTTTTGAGCCGCTCCCAATCGCAGTAATCGTTCTGATGAGGATTAAAGCCAGTCTATACATTTCATCCTCGATTAGCATCTCAACAAATAGGCCTAAATTCTCAGCACTTTCTCGTTTTTATGATAAACATTGTCCATCAGCTTCGCAAGGAATTTTCATATTCATTCAGAGAGAGTGTCCAAATGTTAACGATATGGAATGTTAGTGAAGGCAACATCGTATGTGTAGCAGTGTGGTTAGTCAGCAAGACCTTTCACTTATGGAGGGCACTACAAATGTTCAACAAGTCAGAATTTCTTCGGTTGCTTGCCATGAGTAAAACATAAACACATCACCTCCATGGGTTAATCTTCTCTAGATCGCACTGGTTAGGTGGTAACTCTCTGAACATCTGTTAACACTTGCTCTGTGAGCTTGTGTTGTTTTGGTGATCGCAACAGCGAAAAACCACTCCTGTGGTAGTAATGTCTCCAGGAGTTAGTCGCAACTGAGTAAAAGCAGCAATCATCAATAGTCATGGGTACCCATAGCAAGGGTCTAAATTATAGCACAGCTTCTAGCCACATTGCACCCTTAGTGGCTTAGATCATATGACAACACGTGATCACAATCGTTCAACAAGGATAAGTATCAAAATTTGATGGACATCATTTGTCTTTTTACAAAAGCGGACATCAGCCTTTAGTCAGTTAGAACTTTCAGAAAGAGACCTATTTTTTTAGACCCTGTGTTCGCGCTCATTATTCCTTTCAAAATGGTATACCCTTTCGGGACATAGGAGATAATCAACGTCCTCCGGACCATGTCCATTCCTGAGTTTTTTATATTTCGATCGTGTTTCAAAAAATTTATGAATGATAAGTATAGCTGATGAGTTCCTCATCTTGAAGCGATAAGAGCTGTCATTATGAAAATTCTGCATCTTCTCACATACATTGTGCTCTCTTTAAACGAAATTAGATAAAAACTTCGTGGTACATTATGGTTCAGATTATTGGCTATATCAAAAAATCATCTGAAAGATAAACATGTAAAAATGAAGCTTTTGAAATGAATACCAAAGAGAATTGAGTGGCGAGCAAAAACACAACTTCAGGCGGGATTCGAACCCGCGTTTCATCCATACCGGGGACGCGTGCTACGACCACTGCAATGCCGAGGCACATTTGCGCCATCACTCATTCCTCAACATCTTTATGTTAACTATCAGCCAGCAACTTTTGGTATACATGTAACATCATAACACTGCGAAAAAGCAGTAAAAATACTAGAATTGCGGAGTATTGAGATAAAGCTCGATGACGAACACATATGACTTAGAGTCATTGTTGAACCTGTGATGCCAGCAAGTTGCATCCAAATCAAGCGTACCTTGACAAAGTTAAAAGCAAGCCAATTCTTAAATACACTAAATTTTTTGAGACTACAATCAAAAGCCTACTCAAGCTTTGGCAGGGCAAGCATACGGCCAAACCGCTAGCGCTATTTTCTTGGAAGAAAAATCGACTACGATCTTCCAGATAGTCTATAATAAAAGATCCACCTAGAAACGTTTAGCATTTTCCAGGATCAGTGCTTCTTGCTGACACATCTTCATTAACTGTTTATTAAGCAGTGATAATGATCACTGGTGTGAAGCGGTGGTCAAAGGTGTTCTGCAGCACACAAGTCTCCGCTGATTCGGTCCCTCGTCCCCACAGACCGAATTCCCACTCTTTTCGGGTCAGCAAGTTGATGAAGAAATTTTCCGCGCGAGTGGCAGCATTGAATTGATGCATCTGTAGGCTAATAGATACCTACCAAAGTCATGTGCACTCCCTATTCCTCAGAGATTAATCAACGCTGACAGCCTTATCTTATACTTTGTCTTAGTCTCATAAGTTCAATGACAACACGAGCGGAAAAATTTTGGTCAGTTTTTTTGAGTAAAGTATTTCGTTATTCTAGAAATTGTATCACATCAAAATAACGTGGTATAAGTAGTTTTGAGATGACTGCAGCTTTTCACGTCACGACACTGCCGCTGAACGACTGGATGGTGGCAAATATTGAATGCTCGCTGTCAATTGCATTGCCATATTGAGTAGTTTCTGATAAAGCAAACATCCTTTGCCACCTTGACGTTCAACAAAATGAACATTGTGACTTATAACTAAGTTTATACAGAAGTGCTTTGAACAGGCTCAATTCCCAAAAAAGATACAACTTCTCATGGTGCCTTCATTTACTTTCTTATCAATAATGTCGTTCCTAAGATTGAAGGTGCATATACATTGCAACAGTCAACAGCACTGCGCTGTAAAAGCAGGTTATTAAGTTTGGCAAAATTTAGAACTAAGAGGCATTATCATTAATCCCTCCAACACAAGCCTTTCTCAATCGAAACAATGACATAAAGTAATTGACCCCACCTTTCGTCTAATTTAAGACGTCGTTCGCTAGATACCTGACATCTCCTTTTGCCTCGAGTGTTTCTCGAGACCACGCACAGACTTTGCATTCGACTCCTCGGTATAAAGAGAAGATTCCCGAGGAACTGACTGAACCGAAAAGCACCGTGCAACTGACGAGGTTGCAAGGCCGAAACACGTGTGTTGCACTGTGCAAGTGCCCATAACAGACATAAGTATGGCTCAAAATTAACTATCAGGCATATTTTTGTCACTGTTGACGTTGAAAATTAAGCCACAGTTTCACACATAGGCAAAACATAATATGTACCCGGTCAAGGAGCTAAAATGATAAATGAATTGAAAGCTTCGAAAGTTGGTCAATGCCTGAGCAATGCGCCATGTTTTCAACTTCTCGGAATCGTTGGAAGTGACTCATGAAGTAAAGGTGGAAGGCTTGATAAGCTTGGAACGAGAAATTGGTCCAACGACCACGCCTGAGTTGCGGGCTATCTCTAAGTACAGTGCCACACGTGCTCAAAAATCATAAGAGGATTTGTAAATTGAAATCTGTCCCACTAATCATATAAGAATGTTGGGTTATGTGCAAATCTCTGAGTCTGAAACAGGAGTTGAGCCAGCTTTTCACAGCTAGCAAGAGCGGTCTGTTAGCCATTACACTCTGGAGACTCTACTCTGCAGAAAGAGTAATAGCAGGTTGAAACTCCGGATAGTGTAGTGGCTAACACGCAATCCCTGTAAGGGTATAACGTACGCTCAATTCTATTGCGCGGTTCAGAGTCTTGCGTATCGCTTGGTGTTCTTGGATATCAAGTAGCAAAGTATACTACTGCCTACCTCTCCTATCACCCTTGACACATGTAGAAATTGCTTGTCAATAGACGCCACAACTTTTGAAGAACAAGGAATATAGAAACGTCTTGTTTGAACATTTTGCGCTTCAAAGAAGTTGCTAGGTATGAGGAGAACATTTTTAGAAAAATTTACTGTTTCCTGCGAGGTTCAAGTCAAAGACTAACAGAGTGGGACCACTTTCAGAAATGATGGTCCGTTGGAAAGAAATTGGCCTAGAAATAATCTGACGCTGTACAGGCTTAGACCCACCTGATGTTTCTTTTATTTGAATGAGGAGAGTGTTTCAAAAAATGTTACCTTAAAAAAAACTTCGGAATGAAATTAAAGTTGGCGTGCGAACAAATCGCCTATGTCGTAATGCGGTCAAAAACCAATGCCGCTGTGATTTTACTAGAACTTGAATGGAGCAACTGACGATAAAAAGGTCAATATCTTCGAATTTTCGACGCTTCACTACTTTGTGGCAGTTCAGATAGCGCTCAAAACACAAACTCTAGGTTTTTGGTGTATGCACTGGTGTTCTCAGTGCAGAGATACGTGTAAAGATGTTAAGTAGTGACTCATTGAAATAAATAATTGGAACTGTATCGCCACAGGCCTTTATGTGACGGTGTCTGAAGTATGTGCAACCGATACAAACGTATGGAATTTATATAGGTGGGTCTTGGTAACCACACTCCATGCTTTCAGAATATACTTCCCATTCTTTGAATATCGTCACCTCATTTTTCTGCTCTGCTTTAATTGGTTGTCCATTGTGTTATGAGGGCATAATATCCACCAGAATCCTGACAATGAGCTACTTCCTGACATGAAACAGTCATTTCGTCTACTCTCTATCAAACTTTGGAAAGAACTATTTGACTACTCTGACAAGGCCTTAACAACGCTAATTTCGTCATTGATGATTACTTCTTAATGAAAGTACAATGGGGCGAAGATTAGAAATTTCTACGTATATCTACTAGCTTTCCTCTCATCGAACGGAGACATTATACATTAATCCATTACGTACAGTCCAATCACAGAGAGACATTGAAATCGGCATCGACTGAGTTATAGGTAATCGGCTGAGGCGAGCTGGTTCCATGGGATCACCGATTGACTTTCAGACCCATAAAATGGTAAAAGAATCTCAAATGGGTTTAGCACTTTTTTAGCACTTTATTTGATCCGTCATCGCAGCATTTTCCTTTTTTTCACTGTTTCGATCCCAGTACTTCTAGCATTCAATTCGTTGTTTGTCTTCTATTTGCGCAACGTAGAATACTCTTTGAGCGAGCTTCCTTACAATCTCGGGGATAGTCTTGCTGTGGCGTTCCATAGGACTCCGTTATTGACTACCAGAAAGAAGTAGGGGGTGGAGCTCGGCTCTGCGCGTGCCATGACCAACACCACAATCAGTCGGTCACGGAGAACCAAATGGGCTCAGGGGGTGTAAACTGTTTTAAAGAGCTATAATCACTGTAATCACGTACAGTGTAGTACACGTGTAGCAGGTTATGGATTGAACAGGATCGCTGAGCAGCGCTACACGGCGGTTTCGTCGACGCAGAATTTATTATAATAAAGGCTGAACGGTAAGCAAACGCTTGTGAGAGTAGTTTGGTAGTCTAGATAATTTGTGATTGCTTTCACTGAATGGAGTACTAGCGGAGTGGTCATTAGTGAAGTCCACCAAGAAGCAAGGATGTTGGTTCCATTCTGTCTCCGGACACTTCTTCCCTGCGATCCGTTTGGAAACGTCGCAAGAGGAATCGACTCGAAATACTCTCATCGACGGCGATTTTGATGAATGGAACTCCTCAGACAACAGTCGAAGCATTACGTGAAATGTCCTGTGACCTTTTTAGACATTGAATGCGACGAGAACGAGTCGAATGCGAGAAGTGCTTGAATTTAAGTAATAGGCTTTGTCAATGACTGGCTACATAGGTGAATATAAACTGCTTCCTCACTGTGAAAAGGTTTTCTGTTTTTGACAAGCGTTAGAGAGCATGATGTAGTCAGCAAAATCACGCGCCATGAACTGTTTTGCGGCTGTTCTACATCATGGGTATGTCAAATCGCCACTTTGTTTGACCCATATTACAACGCTTTTCCATTGCAGGGTCTGAGAAACTCCACTATTTAATTCGTTTCTCTCTCGTTTAAAGGTTTATCATTTTCACGAATGTCACAGAATACTGCTTCAGCGTATCTCCGTTCAATCTCGCCAATGGCCAGGCTGGGGAGTTCCGAAGGCATCGAGAAATTTTTTCAGCTGTCTTTGCGGCATTTGGTTACCTCAGCATTTTCACCACCATCAATTTTCCCAACCATTCGCGCTATATCATAGGGTTTGAACGCCCAAAAATGACAAACTGTAGTCAAGTAAAATTATCATTGACATTTGTCCAGAGCCCACGCCTTGCTGCTGGTTTGAACAATATGACACCTTCATCAATGGCCAGAATGTTTTACCGGGGTTTGCAATGAAAGTCGATCGAAGGAGGTTCACAGGGCGTTCGTCATTGATTGTTGGAGAGATTAAGAGGAAACCACTCGGCCACTGGCTACCTACGACAGATTGATACACTTCAAACTAATATAATTGATAAGATAGTTTAAGCATTCATGAGGTCTGTTATAGTACTTCTCTAATGCAGGACACGTGTTTCAGCCTTGAAGCCTCATCAGCGGACCACTTAGTTCCTCGCGCATCTACCCCCTACATAGAAGAATCCACGACGAACTTGTTACACCAACGTACAACGACAGGTTCACCGTGGAGTTCGTTTAAAGTGAGACTAAATTCTTTCTATTTGACTGCCACTTGCAGTGGTATGATCTTATAGTATACCCAATATGTGGAGTACTGTGCGAAAACGTTTGCGTCAGCCAGGATTCGAACCCA